TTTTTTTTTTTTTTTTTTTTTTTTGGCTTTTTGAGACAGGGTCTCACTATGTAGTTAAGACTGCACTGGAACTCACTATGTAGCCCAGGCTGGTCTCAAACTCACAGCGATCCTCCTGCCTAAGCCTCCCAAGGGCTGGGATTATAGGCATGCGCCACCATGCCCAGCTTCTGTAGGATTTTTTTACTTGTCTTTCCCTGCTTGATTTTTTTGCTTGTTGGGTTCATTGGCTACTGTCTCGTGATTATTACACCCCATAGAATGTTCTATAGATCTCTGTTCCCAATTTGCCACGTTTTGTTTTATTTTGTTTTTCCAGTACCAGGAATCCAATTCAGGGTCTCATGCTTGCCAGGCAGGTGCTGTACCACTGAGCTACATCCCCAGCCCTGCCAGGTTATTTTAAATCTTATTCTACTTCATGTTTTCTGTGTAAGTCTTCAAATGCACAGCTAATTCCTCCCACCTTGGAAATAAAATCAAATTGAGCGGGAAGCACTGGACTTAAGGGAGTGTTTTAATTTCCTGGATTTAGTAAAATTTGTTGGATAGACTTAACAAAAGAACTGCTCCATAAAAGTCTGGGTGATAACTGGACACAAGGCTAAGAGATAGAAATCGCCCAGATCCATGCACCTTCAGCTTCTTCACACACTCAGTGTTCTCTTTTGTTGTTGTTAGTGTTTCATTTTTATTGTAATAAGAAACACATAGCATTAAATTTACCATGTTAACCATTTGTTTTCTTCGCAATACTGGGCATTGAACCCAGAGCCTCATGAATATTATGGGAATGCTCTGCCACTGAGTTACATCCCTGCCCCCCCGTTTTGAGACAGAGTCTCACTAAGTTGCCCAGAATGTCCTTGGACTTATGATCCTTGTGTCTCGGCTTCCTGAGTATTCCTCCCATATTCTTTTTAACTGAAGATTCTTTTAAAGATAGAATACAGTTCAGAAGAGTCTGGATTTATAGGATTTTTTAGGACGTTTTCTGATGACATACAATTAGAAAATGAGATTGCTGTTTTAAGTATCTCAGGTGCATTCAGATTTTTCCAATAGATGACTGTTGTATTCTGTAGGAGGCATGATACAAAAATCACCTAATGGCCGGGGATTTAGTTCAGTGGTTCCGCCGCCTCTCTTGCAAGCACAAAGACCCGGTTCGATCTCCGGTTAAAACACACACACACACACACACACACACACACACACACACACACACACACACAAATCACCTAATGGATTGAGCCCCTAGTGGGTAAACATTTCTGAATCAGGCAAAGTGTTGGCTTTGCATGATTGTTACCCTCACTCCTAAAAGTAGTCACCTCTAATGATGAACACCTCTGCACACTTTCTTTACTCTTCTTGGCCAAGTGGAAACTGTGACAGGAAGCTCTGAACCAGAAGAGAAACACAGTGTCTTGAGGTCATAAAGTTTCTTAAGATTGTGATAGCCTAGCAGTTTCTATCTTAGATCCTCAAGAGGCCAAGGCCCCTGAGAAGTCCCAGGAGCAGAAAGTACAGTCCTATGCCTACCTGTATGGGGTTGGACCACTTAGAAGTGAGAGAATTAAGTCTCTGGCAGAATGAACAACAACAACAAAAAAAAACCCAAGCATTTACAGAAGACAATGAGTGCTAGGTAGTGCTGTGATGGGCAGGTGGCGGGCAGAGTCAGGGCCATCCTTTGCTCTCAAAAACCTCAGGTTTATTTGGCAAATTGGTCTCCTGGTCTCTTCAACCTCAAGGTTCTTTCTTCCTTCCTTTCATCTTTCCTGCTTCTTTCTCCCCCTTTCTTCCCTCACAGAAGGGTCCTGCAGGAATGTTTGGAATGTGTGTGTTCAGTTCCTCCAGGTGCTGCCTCCGGTTCTTCTTTTCCCTTTGTGGTCCCACCATTAAGAGCTGACTTTCTAAGACCTGATGGCTAACATAGCACTACCTTTTTTACCTGAGTCCTTGTTCTTCCTCCCCAGGCCTGGGTTCTAAGCCCCTCATTGAAATGAAGGGCTATGAGGATGGGGGCCTCCGGCTAGAGTGCACATCTTCAGGGTGGTATCCAGAGCCCCATCCAGTGTGGAGGGATCCTTGTGGTAAGGTCACTTCTGCCTTGGAGAAAGCCTGCACTGTGGACAAAGATGGCCTCTTCACAGTCACCATGGTTGTGATTATCAGAGACTCCTGGGTGAGGAACATGACCTGCTCCATCAGTAACACTCTGCTCGGCCAGGAGGTAGAAACTGTGATTTTCATCCCAGGTTTGTTTCTTGCCCTCTGGGGACTCATCATATGAAGGTAGGATCCCAACGAACAGAGGGGAGCATGTAGCAGGGTGGAGGATGCAAGTGTGGGTGGAAGAGACATGGGCCCTAAAGAGCTGGACACAGTTGAGCTGAGGCCTCTTCCCTTGTCAAAAAGAGAAAATGAAGTACTCTCAAATTACATGAGTAGGAGTCTCTTCTCTAAGGGAAGATCTAACCCTCTTGTCCCTAGTAAGATCCTGGTACTGCAACAAATTTTCTTTTCTTTTCTTTTATTCATTTATTTATTTATTTAGGTACGGGGATAGAACTCAGGAACTTGCACTTGCAAGGCAGGCAGCGGAACCACTGTGCTAAATCCCCAGCCCTTGTAACAAATTTTAAACATTAAGAATAATTATGAGTTTTTTTAAAAAAAAAGAGAATAATTGTGAGTCTCTGCATCATTCTTGGCTATCTCCTGAAGGCCTCTCCTCCTGCTCAGAGGATTTCTCAAGGATCTACATATGCTCAAATACTCATTCAACAAATACTCAACAAGCATCACCTATGTTCAAAATATTATTCTAGAAACTGAGGGTTAATCATTGGGTACAACATGAAGAACCATGCATTCACAGAAGTTGCATTCTAGAGAGACAAAGAACAATGTGTGGAATGATTAATTAAAGCAAGCGATTAAGTAATTAAACTGTATGTTATGAGACTGTGATGAATAATGTAGGAAAATTTAAACAAGGAGGGGAAAGGGGATTGAAACATCCCAAGGAGGACAGATGTTTCAATTATCAATATATTGGTAAAGGGAGGGTTTGCTGTGAAGATGGGAATTGAACAAACAAGGGAATGAGGCTCAAGGTATTCGAGGATTAAGTGATCCGGGTCACCAGAACCATATGTACAAAGGGTCTGAGGCAAGAGTATGTCTGGCAACTGCAAGAATCTAGAGGTAATGCTGGTGTGGCTGCAATGGGGTGAGTACAGGAAGTAAGAAAGGAATTCAGAGAGGCAGTGAAACCATGGCAGAGTAGCAACACATGCCAGAAACACTTTGGCTTTTAGTGTAAATGAGATGGGAAGTGTTTGTGTGGGTTTTAGTAAAATATTAACATGATGTCAGGCTCCTTAATGTAGAATAGTCTGTGCATAGCGAAGGTAGAACAAGGAGGAAGGCAATGGGATAGTCTAGACGAAGAGTGGCTCACATCAGGGTGGTGGCTGTGGTGATTCAGTGTGGAGGTGAGGGTCACTCACTGACATTCCCCAGGGACTCTGGTGTTTCTGTTCTTCTGTCACCTGGGCTCTGCGAGTGCTGAGCCCACCTCTGTGTTCATTCTGGAGCTTCTGGGGGAGAAGTCACACACAGAAGACCCGAGAGGACAATTCAGACCCTGGCATCCTGTTTGTCACTGAGGGGCACTTTTCTGGTCTCCTTTTCAGAATCCTTCACACCCAGCCTGTCTCCCTGGATAGCGGCTCTGGCTGTCATCCTAGCTATTCTGATGCTTTTCACGTTTGGGATCATGTGTCTCATCAAGAAATTCCATGGAGGAAAAAAGAGTCTGTCAGAAGAAAAAGATACTGAATATGAAGAAAGAGAAATTACACGTAAGAAACTAGGGCAAGAACTGTAGAGAATGAGAAAGAACAGCAAATAAGAGGTAAAAGGGTAGCAGCATGGGGAGTGGAGAGGAACCTCCCAGAGTCAGCACAGAGATTGAAACTGCAGTGTTGCAGGTGAAACCCACATTCAGAGCATTTACTTACCGTTGAGTTTACTCACTATCCAGGATGGCCAAGGCACTGGACCATTTGACCAAAGGAAGCCTAAAAGAAGACTGATACTATCCAGCCACCTGATTGTATCTCATTTCTAGTTCCTGAATTTGAGGGATGAAGATGTCACTGTCAGACATAGGGCCAATCCTTATATCATTTAATATGAATCCAAATTATCTTCCTTCTACTGAGGACTTTACTGTGTTCTTTTTCAGAGCAACTTCAAGAACTGCGTAAGTAATAGTTCCCTAAACTGTTCTGTGCACAATCTGTGTTCCGCTTGGGTAGCCATCATCTCATTCACCTCTCTGTCACCTGCAGGATGGAGAAGAACCCTCCTACATGCTGGTGAGTACCTCACACTCCCTCAGATCCTGAGCCTTCTCTCCACGAGCCAGCCATCTAGAGCAGATAAAACAGGAGTCTAAGGCTTGGCCAGGGGTTGGGGTGGGTGGGGAGATGGGGAGGAGTGGAGCAGGAGGCTATGAGTAGTTCTCCAGCAGGAAGAATGCTGGATTCCTGCTTTTCTGTCAGGGAACCTCCACAGCTTTTAATCAGCCTTACAGTTTGCTTGCTACAACACTTCCCTTTTTTTGGAATAAATTAATCCATGATTACCAGAGGTCCTCCTTACAGAGCAGGCATCCCCTAAAATTACATTTCAATAGTTGTCACTCTTGGATCCTGGGTAAATTTGAAAAAAAGACAATAGTATCTTAGCAAGTTATAATCTAGAAGGTGGTATAGACTCTGCTCAGTTGAAGAATTATGAGAGGAGGGAAGGAGAAAGTAAATATTCATAAGTCTGATTGAAGGGTATATAATTACCTGTCTCAAAATGGCTTCCTGCTCCCAGGAGAGCACTGGTACTCCATGAACAGTCTTTGGGGAAGACAAGGCATGCACAAGGGAGACACATAATCCTTCTGCTTACTCCTAATGACCACCTTACATTTTATAATTTGTCATCATCTGCCCAAAGCACCAAAGAATGCAGGTTTCACCAGATACATCATGCTACATGAACTTTTCTTCTTTAGGGAAATTTTTTAATTGTCACATATAACCTGAGACACCATTCCAAGTTGTCATAAACAGATATATCAGGGGAAAGGAAAGAAATCATTTTAACAGAGTAAGCAAAGTAGTAGACTGAGGCAGAAGGACTGCCACAAGTTCGAGATCAGCCTGGGCTACATAGTGAGTTCAAGACCAGCCTGAACTACAAAGAAAAACCCTGTCTCAATCCCCCTTCCCAAAAAAGTAGCAAGCAGCCAGGCATAGTGGTGTACACCTGCGATCCCGGCACTCGGAAGACCAAGGCAGGAGGATTACCACAAGTTCAAGGCCAACCTGAGCTACACAATGAGTTCAGTGCCAGCCTGAACTACATAGTGAATTCAAGGCCAACCTGAACTACATAGTGAGATCCTGTCTCCAAAAGAAAAAAAAAAAAAAAAAAGTAGCAAGCAATATTAAATGCAAATGAGAGAGGGGTCTGAAGCATTTCCTGTTCCCAGACAAGAGAACACTCTGTAGACTTCAACGCATGCTATTAAAGTAAAACTGAATGAAAATATTTCACCCCTACATTTGCTACACATACTGCTTGGGCAGCAGGTTGGCTTTTGGGGACATCTATCCTCCATATTTACTCATTGTCAGTCATTTAACTGGGTTGTCACCTGGCTCCAGGAGACCACTGAAGAGACTCTGTGCACTTAGAACACCATATAGTAAAATCCACTTTAATTCCATAACTGATTCATGGCTGCAGGGAGCAGGGGGTAAAGCCTCTTTGATGGTGTAAGGCAAGTTGGATGGTTCTAACTAAAGGAAGTCCCAGATATTACATACTGTACCACATATAGACAAGGGGGCTGAGAATGCTGAGAAAGTCAGAACCATTAACATTGGCTCATTTGCTGAATTTTCTGGGTTCCTGAGAGCCTTGACTCTCAATTATCTCAGAGAGACAGAAGTGCAGATTCAGCAATTCCCAGTCTTATAAATGGCCTGGGATCAAAGGATCTTCGTGGAAAAGGCCGCCACACGGGGAATTCCCCACATGCTTTCTTGGGACCAGGGGACATACCACTGTACTAAACCTGAAACTTTTTCTGCAGCCGATGTGGTTCTGGATCCAGACACAGCTCATCCAGAGCTCTTCCTGTCAGAAGATGGGAGAAGTGTGCGACGGGGCCCCTCCCGGCAGAGCCTGCCCAACAATCCAGAGAGGTTCGACTGCAGGCCCTGTGTCCTGGGCAGGGAGAGATTCTCCTCAGGGAGACACTATTGGGAGGTAGAGGTGGAGGATGTGATGGTGTGGGCCATTGGGGTTTGTAGGGACAGCACTGAGAGGAAAGGGGAGGCTCTGCTGCTTCCCCAGAATGGCTTCTGGACCCTGGAGATGTTTGGAAACCAGTATCGGGCCCTGTCCTCCCCTGAGAGGATTCTTCCCATGAAAGAGCGCCTTTGCCGCGTGGCCGTTTTCCTAGACTATGAAGCTGGAGATGTTTCCTTCTACAACATGAGAGACAGGTCACACATCTATACATGTCCCCTCTCAACCTTCTCTGGGCCCCTAAGGCCCTTTTTTAGACTGGGTTCTGATGATAGTGCCCTCTTCATCTGCCCAGTGTTCACAGGGGCCCAGGGAGTCATGGTGCCTGAGGATGGCCTGATCCTACACAGGCCAAGGACCTGCTACCCTCTGCAGGGCCAATTTTCTGATCTCCCAGCCATTTAGGAAGCCGTGGCCTTCTTCTCCACTACCATGGCACTGCGCTATCTGATGCAAACAGGCCCTTCCTTCTCGTCACAGGAGAGAGCATCTTCCTGCTGCTTCACACCCAGTTCAGGCCCAGGCCCAGTTCCCTCCCTCTTCAAGCTGTGGCTTTAGTAGCTGAGGCGCTGGGAAGTATGGGGCAGGCACAGTCTTCTTAGGGAACTGTCGCTGTTACACACCTTGCAGCTGGGAAGGATGCAAGAGGGCAATGGGCAGAAGTACGGCTGCTTTCATACCACAGCCAACTACTACACTGTGAACATGGGTGAGGGCAGTGGGATGCACGAGGATGTAAGGGGCAGGAAGGAACCACAGAACCTCTGATGTGGAAGACAAAGACAGTGACACACAGAAATGGGCTAGAGAACTGAAAGGAGGCAGAGCTTACAGTTAGGGGGTCTCTGGAGCTGACCATCCATTTTCACCCAAACCCCAAGATTTCTAGACCACATAACTGTGGGCCCAGACCTGGGATACAACATCAAAGGACAAAAAGTACCTAGAAACAGGTGTGGTGGTGCAAGCTGTAATCTCAGCATTCAGAAGGCTGATGCAGAAGGATTTACTTTGAGCTCAAGGCTAGCCTGGTTTCCAATAGTGAGTTCAAAGGCCAGCCTCAACTACATAGCAAGACCCTGTCTCCAAAAAAAAAAAAAGGACCTAGTAAACAGTAGTGTGTAGGAGTAAAAGAATGAAAGTAAAAATAACAGATAATACCTTTTATTATGAAAAAGTATTAAAATTTCAGACCCTTGAAGCTGTATCAGACTCCCAGAAATCCTCAATCCATATTTTAAGAACCAAGGTAGATGATCCTAAAGTTAAAGTATGCATCTAAAATTCTGGCTTACATGATAGTGCTTTCAATTTATGATAATTTAGTAATCATAAAATTGGACTGAAAATTTTTATTGATGCAGCTGCAAATGGACAACACAATAGAAAGGACCAAGAACATACTGAAACAGTTGGTTTGTTAAGATGGAAGTCTGGGTTGTATATGAGCAGGTTTTATTCTATTCAAGCTGCTACAACAAAAATACCATAGACTGGGTGGCCCATAAACTACAGAAACATATCTCACAGTTGTGGAAGTTGGAAAATCCAAGATCAAGGTGCCATCAGACTAGGTGCCTGGCCCATAGTCTGCTGGGTTCTCATGGTGGAAGGGGTAAAGAGTTCTCTAATCTCTCTCTCTCTCTCTCTCTCTCTCTTTAGAGACAGGGCTTATTATGTGTTTCAGGCTGGCCTTAAACTTGCCATGATCCTCCCACCTCAGCCTCCAAAGTGCTGGGATTAAAGGCATGCACCACCACACCTGGCTAAAATCTCATTTGTACCTCCCATTCATGTGGGATCCACCCTCATGACTTGATCACCTCCCAAAGGCCCCACCTCTCAGTGCTTCCACATTGGGGATTAATTACAACATGTAAATTTGGTAGGACACAGACAGCCTGTCCATCGAAGTGAATGGTACTAGTATTATTATTTGGACATTTTTAGCTAAATGCATTAGGTTATAAGGACTCAAATATTGCTAATAATTGGTCATATTAATTTAAATATTTTATAGATCTTCAGTGCTCTGTGAATTGTTTTTTAATGGTGCCAGTGATTAAACCTAGGGCCTTATGTTTGCTATGCAAGTATTCTACTACTGAGCTATAGCTTTAGCTCTAAAATACAGTTTTAATAGAGTGTGTGTGTCTTAAGCTATGGCTTTGAGTTCTTAAAGCAAATATATGTAATCCCCAATTAACAGTAATATACTGGAGTCTAGCAAATTAAAGTGATACTTTTTGTTCAAGGAAAGTAGTATTCTCACTCAATAAACCATATCTTTCAAACATATAACTGATTATTGAAAATAAATATGAACCCAATGCTGTGCTAGACACTTAATCGTTCAAATAGTAGCAGAAAACATGTCAGGATGTCTTCATTCCTCTTTTTTCTTCTTTTTTCTTTTGTGCTGGGAATCAAACTCAGGACATTGCACTTGTCAGGCAGGTATGGTGCTACTAAGTTAAATTCCCCACCTCATCATGCTGTCTTCTATGCACATCTACTTTCTCAATGAGTTCCACACCTGTAATGTGCCCGCTGTGTGCAAAAAGCACCTGGTATAAGGTGCTTTATACCAGGAGGATCCCTTATCTTATTGGAGTTAACTTTTATTTAGGAGTATACAAGAGGAAGAGCATAAAACCAGATTGTGTGTAGCACCATGAATGAAGTAATCGAATATGTTGTGGAGGCCTGTGGGTTGGGACCATTTTCAGGGCAAGTCTAGGAAGGGCCTCCTGGAGAAGGTGATGCCTTGGCTGAGACCTGAAGACAGAACCAGCTGGAAGGAGGGTGGGGTATAACTGAGCAGTGGGGACAGCAAGCACAGAAGCCTCAAAATAAGATAAAGTGACCACTGATGGAACCTGAAGAGACCCGTGTGGTCAGAGCAAAGATGGAGAATGAGACAGGCAGGAGACCTAGCAGAAAGCAGACCATGTACTCTGAGCACCCTGTGCAGAGTATAGCTCATCCTTGTTAGCACATCCTTCTCCCACATCTCAGATGGCATCACAGTGCACCACCTCAGAGAGAAAATAGAATAAGGAAGAGGTTTTGTACTTCCCCACATTATGCACCCACTCCTGATTGGCTTCTTTCAATTTCAGTGGAGCAGGTGTCTTTTGTCCTGTATTACACAAGTCCTTCACACACATCTTGGAACCCCACTCCCTCCCTCAGATTTATCTATTCACTCCATCCATTCATTCAACAATGACTCATGAGCATGATGTGATTGATGGTCAGGATTGTAGAAGCTAGGGGCACAGAAGAGTGAAAAAAGAAAGTCCCCTTCATACAGACTTACCTTGTGGCAGCAGACAGAAACCAAATTAAAAAGTTGACTGTATGCTGTGTGTGTTGGATGGTGATAAGTGCTCAGGAGATAAACCAGGATAAGGAATATCAGAAGTTGCATTTTAAAATGGAGGGTGAAGTGAGTAGCTTGTATCTAGATGCCCCTCACTAAAGCCTCATATGCTTGTAGGTGGGGCTCTCTGGGAGTGACTGGATCATGGGTGTTAACTGTAAATCCCCTAATTGGGTTAGCATAGTTCTGGGTGTGGTTGAGTAGATTTGCTGATGACAACCTGCCATCTCTTCCAAGAACCTAAATTCAGACTTGTAATATAATCAAGTTCCTTCAGCCATGGTTATAGCTAAGTCTTTGGAGCTTTAATTACATTAGAAGTCTGTTTTATAATTATTATGACCTGAAAGGCAGGCTTATTTTTGGTTTATGACCCAAACTGTTGCAAATGCTAAGTCCCAATGTTTGTTCCAAGGACTCTACAAAGACACCATTCAGTCTACCCAAAGTTTAACAGCAGAACATACTATACTCAATCCCAGCACTTGGGAGGCTGAAGCAAGAGGATTACCACAAGTTTGAGGCCAGCCTAGCCATAGAGAGTTCCAGGCCAACATGAACTACATAGCAAGACCCTGTCTAAAAAAAAAAAAAAAAAAAAAAAAAAAAAAAACAATAAAAAATAGGGAA